CTCGAAATCCTTCTGCAATGTTGCATCATTTTGATCTCTTTCAATTTGTAACAGATAAAACCCGTTACTTACGAAGAATGTGAGTGCATTCAAAGCATCGTATTGTGCTACATAAATTTACAGCTTGCTAATTATTTAGTTCATTAGTTAGCTACGTCTTTTTTTTTAAGGGCGGAAAATCATCGAATGACTGCTCCCGCCTGGGTGGAGGGAGTGTCAGACTCTTATTAACTAAAAATCACCCCGTTCCTTCTCCTGCACGTCGAGCCGGAGCCCCAGTAACCCGTTAGGTTACCTAAATAGTTAGCTTTTATTTCTTACACAAAATATGTAGCTATTCTATAAAACTCCTTACTATCAAATTCGGATACTTAATTGACTAATTTCTGTTTTGTGTATATTATCTACTTATTTTACCAAAAGTATTTACTAATTATTGCATAAATCATCTTTTCGAAGACATTTGAACATCGCTACCGACATACTTCAAATTGACGTAGGTAGACCGAGACAGTCGCTAACCGGTAACCTCTTGCCATTTTGAGAAACGTATTTTCGTACCTGGCTGATGTAAGAACATCGGACAGTTTCAAGTTTAAAAGCACAATGCCTCTAGCTATTTACATAATTGTCTATGTTATGGGTTACTGAACAATTTAAAAAAAAAGAAACAAAAAAGGAAACCACGTGTTTGAATGATGATTTGAATGCTTTCGCATTTGCCGTAACGGTATTTCGTCCCATAACTATGGTGATGTAACAATGTTTAACAATTTCAAATTAATTTTTAATTGAGTGTTAAGTTAATTTCCGATATTGGCTAAACAAATGATTCGTGTTTACTTTTGTTATATTTTTCTGTAACTATGGTAAAAGGACGGGAAATTGGATACCACTCGGAATTTGATTTTTTTTTTTGCATTTACCGTTGACCATAAAGCACCTAACTTCCTTTTGTCAATGAACTGTGAACATTAGACATTTTTTGTTCCGGGTGCCAGCCTTATGTATTCTAAAATAAACTCTATTATGTCTACTCAGTTTTCGTTTTCTTTAAAACCGGTCCATTCTAGTTGTAACTGGTTCAGTGTGTTAATTTTAAGATTTTTTTAAATAAATATTCTGAATGGCATTTTTGTTACGTAACCTCGATTTATTTGCAAAATTATACAATAAGTATTCTAATGTGTATTTCTATTATTATTTTATGTAGATATCTACTTAATGTTTAATTCCAGTTTATTTTTATTTCAATACCTACATTAACACGCGTGAAAACAGTGGTGCATTCATTTCGCCCTCCATGCTGTTCGGCCCATTCGTTGTAAAATAATACGGTCTATTGATTTTAAAATTTGGGTCAGCCGAAACGTATGTACTGACTTCGGAAAGCAGCTGTCTGGTACAAGTGGCAATGACGAGGCGTTGAATTTAATTTTGCAATTACATTGCGGGCGTTTAAAATAAAAGTTATGTTAAAAGTTGAACTTGGTTAGTTAATTAATTACCTAAGTATTTTTATAATAACACCACCTAGGTTTAACTAAAAATTATATTATGGAACACAATTTGCGAAAATGGAAAAATGAAACATTTTTCATCGCATTAGGTTCTTATTATTTTTTATCCACCAGATCAAAGGCTTTCCGATACTCTCAAATAGATATCTTTATAAGTACCTATGGACGTAATAATGTCCTGCTTATCAATCAACGTGTGAATATGATGTGAAAGGACAGTATTAAAATAATAGTTTGTTCGTTATCTTGACAGCAATAAAATTACCCTCGTATACCTACTCGTACCTATCATATCAGAAATTTATGGCAGTGGTTCCCGTACGTATTTAATATTGTATCCACAACTTAAAGGTGTCTACTTTTTCAACCATATTATTATCACCGATAGGAGGAACATTCATACCAAATATTATACACGAGTTTGAAGTGGATTGATTGTAATAGGAAAACCGTGACACCAATATTATAAATGTAGACCTTTAAATGTCATATTAGAATTTACCTAATTTTAAAATCTATTTTGTGAGCCATAGTGATATTCTGCGATTTTTTTAATATTAAAATTGGTTATGACACGCTAGTGTATTCAGCCTTTTACTGCTGGAGAGTTCATAACCTCGTCGATAAGTTGATACGTCTGCATTGCGTCTCAGGTCAAGTAGGGTACGTTAGTAAGTACTTCAGTTCCTTAATGCTGTTAAGTTGTCGTAGGTTCTTGACATCGATACAATGTCCTTCAACTTTCATTTTATATCTACTTTAATTGTCTCTTAAAGATGTGTCTAGATATATAAGTAAGAACGATGATTTGATGTGATTTTAATGAATAAGCGATTGATTTTGTGGTTATTAATTGTTTTAAATAATATCGTTAAAGAGCTGATAAATCCTACCTAATGAAGTATCTAATTAAAATTCAATTATTTTCTAAGTACCTACAACATTTAAAAAGATTTAGATAAATAAACCAATTATTAAAATCTATTTATAAACTTTTCTGTATGCCTAGCAATAAAATTAACTAATAAATTATCTAGCTATCTATCTACAATTAAAAGAGTTAGCTAATTGATAACAGTTCGATTTCAACCTATACGACCATTGTGATCAGTTAACGTTAATTGAATCTTCTATCTAAATAGAGGCTATATTTAAAGAGTTGTACTTAACTCTTTAAATCTAAGTAAAATTAAGTAGATATAGATATCTCTTTAAATTTAAGTAGATATAGGTACCCACCTACGAACAAAGACGAGTGTTCTTGTTAGCCGTCTGCTAGGGACCCTGAAACACCCTACTCTAGGGTCATAAATTATGGTATGGTGTACCTTCCTATTAACATGCTTATAGGTACCCACCTATCTAATCCTAAAGGACTACATATATTTTTTTACGCCATGTACCTATTGATACCTATATTATTTAGGTATCTGTGGAGTACCTACCTAATAATTTATGTAGGTAGTACTTAATGAACCTACAGATATGCTGTAGGTACCTGTTATGGATCTTATTAGAATTCAAGAAGTTTCGAGACGGTCTATTAGAAATTACAGATTTTTTCATTGAAGTTGATACAAAGTAGCTAACTAACTCGATCCTAGATAATTTAGCTAGGTATACTTACGAATACTTTTTTATTTACAATTAAAATTGTGAATTTTAGTCATGGAAAAATTATCTTGTTGTGGAAGGACCTAAGTAGTGTTCGCGAACAACAGGTTCATTACACCTTGATAACACAATTAAACGCCGTCATTAATTAACATGCGGTGACGACAGAACATTTTTATTTCATGATTTTAACCCACTTACCTAACTCTGCATAGCAGAGAGCTCCGATCATCGAAAGGAAGCCGGAGAGTACCCATACGATCAGTGCCATGCCTTTAGAACCAGCATGCTTGAGGGCTAGACTAGGAGACACGAATATTCCTGATCCCACTATCACACCGACTATGATAGCCACACCGTTCATCAACCCTAACTCTTTCTTCAAACGAACCCCTTCATCCGATTCTCCATCACCGGTGTCATTAGTTTCTGGGCCCATTTCCATCGCTTTCGGCGGCGGGGCATCAATATCACTCACTTTTGCCATGATCAACGTTTATAAATAACAAATTATTTGTAGAAGTAGACGACTTGGATCGTATCACTTGTAAATTTAAACACTTTTACACATTGTCAACAGCAAGATGTAGCACAGCCGAAATTCTGAAGCACCGTCATACAAACATTGCATCACACTGCGGTGTGAGCTGCGGCGGGAAACACCACGTGCGGCGATGAACACCATTGAACTACCATGGACTGATAAAAAAATTACTCCTGTGGTTTACGCCGACAGTAGCTGATAACACGACAATAGCCAATATAAATATTAGCGTAAAACAACTTCACATTGTTGTATTTAGGTTAATATATTCAGCACACTGTGTTCACTGGTTTTTAAAATTTACTTTAGTTTTAGACTTGCTTTTTTATTTAAAAATTGTCGGCTTTATTCAATTAATAGTTCAAGTCAAAGTTCGATATTTTCCCGGTCGCGATCTTATCCATATGCTACGAGGAGTAGACGTCCGCCGTTACGTCCGCTTGCCTTACTATTCACTATGCTACTTTGCAAGTTAACCACGAGCACAGTCGTCTGCGTCCGCGTGGATGACTCAAACACGAAACGGCATGGGTCGACCACCGTGCCGAGTCGAAAGCGACTTTAACTGTGAAGTTATTAAGTATAATATCGGCGTAGAGTCGGCCGCGAGAATTCACTGCCAAGTTCGTACAACTAGTTTTTTTAGCTATCTCGTTCTCACCATCACCATCCGATGTGCATCACCACGTGTAGATTTGGCACACTTTGTTTTAACAATAACTTGTTCATGAGAGGCACTGATAAAGTACCGCCATGTTTTGTGGTGGGCACAATGACGGTCTATAAGAGGATTAGGTTCTTCAATTCTTCACGTAAGCAGGATATGAGCAATTCATTTATAGCTTGTTCGTTGCAAAGAGGTCAATGACAGTGTGGTGATACGAGATATCAATCTGCTTGGTGAAAGCTACTGTTTCCCATTCACTTTTTCATAATCCAACGAATGTATTGCTATTGATAATGGTATCAATTACTATTAGATTATTATCTACTTCGATACCAGTTTTCACGTTTTGATATGTAGGGCCCACTGGCGCCACTCAAGCGCAGTTTGGATTACAAGCGCTTACTTATAATTACCAAGAGAGTTGCTTATAGGCCACAGGTAATTTCTTACTTATAGTTTGGTATTGCTATTTTAACGTTATTCTTTTGGGTGTACTAGACTACATACAAATAGTTGGTATATATGTATATTTATTCATAATATTATTTTATTTAGTGTATTATTAAGCATTTATTGGGAGACAATTTTATAATATTCAGACGCAGGTATTGAGGAAGCGAATACTGGACACTGGTTTCATTAAATAACAAGATTATTTTCATACGAATTGTTCTTTATTATTACATATTGCATATTGAATATGAGAGAGAAATACAAACGTTAATTAATAATGTTGATTATTACATGGGAGATTAAATATTGTACCAATAGGTATACAAAATCTACTATAAATATATAGTGGTAGGTACTTGTTAAGTAGGAAACAATTAGAGAGATCGATGGTCTACCCGTGTCCGTACATCCAACTGCACGCAGTTTTCTGTAAAAGTTAATGAGAGATTTTATCGACATTAAAAACTGAATTATACGACATTAGACATTAAGGTCGAAATTATATGTAGTTAATACCAATATCAACTCTCACAACCACAGCTTTATGAATGTCTGCATGAAGTCAAATGTACAACTATATGACAGTTAGAAATAGGCGGACTTTTGTAGAGGTGTAGACCATCAGACCTCAACTATAATGGGCTACTAACTACAATATTGTAAATGTCCAAATAATAATCAGTTTGACACGGAAACAAATATTCGACAGTTCAGTGGCATTTAAGAAAATCATTTTTATCCTGTAATAAATACATACAGATGTAAAAACTCTGATTTCTTATATTAAAATTATACACTGTGATATGACAAAATAGAGAACAATATAATGCACAGAGTCAAATGGAAAATGAAAGATATAAAAAAGATTTTAGTCATTGCCGCTGTTTACATCTAATTTGTATAACCTAGCTGTTCCGTCATCTGAGGCAGTTAATATTAAGTTTGTTTTCGCGCTATAACGTAGATCTAGGATTTCTGATAGGTGGCCTGTGAACTTCTGGCACTCTTCGCCTGTCCGGCCTTCATACACCCGTACGGAGCCATCAAGACAGCCTGTGACAAGAAGCCTGTTCACCCAGGTCATTCTGGTGATCCCGGGACTGGACCCAGCTTTCGTACATTGATGACGCTTCATTCTCCGAGGTACGTCCCATATGTCTACTGCTCCCGTTAGTGTACCTGAAATGCAAATGAAATGTAAATTAACTACTGCAAAAGATTGTACTACAGATCCTACAGAAATTTTTCTTAAAAAAGTATCTCACAAAGTTTTACAAGAAAGTACCTCATCGATAGAGAGGTGCTTGTGTGATTGGACAATAAGGAATCTGGGGTTTAGTTTAATTGCCGTGTCTGGTGTAATATTTGCTATTCTTTTAATTTCGGCAAATGTAGACCAATGGGATCTCCCTATATGATTTAGATCTTAAAACATAACTAGCAAAAAGTGGATGTTATATTTCACATCTTCAAGAAATAGGTAGTTATGTAGGTAAAACAGATGAATAAAAGCTTATATTTACCTGTGGCAAGATATGGGAACTGAAGGTCTTTTGAAAACGTAACTATTTCTAAGTCTACTTCTGCTGTCATCTGGCTGACTACCCTGCCATTATTTGGAGTAGTTAGCACAATTTTACCTGGAAAACAATACAAAATAAAATTAGAAAACGAAACTTAGGTCTCTAAATTTCTTTGAAGTCTTTCAATAAATATTAAAAGTGGGTGTAATATTGGCTCTTTCCACACTAACTATATAATAACAAAATAATTGATATTTTGTTGATGTTTCTGATGTCTCAGTTACAAAAATTTGCCTCCGACAATGAAAAATACCTAAAAATTTAATTATGTGGGTAGCAGTTTTTAATAAATCTCATCACACAAAGAGAGCCTGAATTCATTGAACATTCTGAACAGTTATAAATAACTGACTGAAATATTTTCAGTCAGTCAGAAGTGGGTGTTCAAGCACTTCCAAAGTATATGTATGTATTATTAACTCGTTGAGTACCGTCATTATAGACACAATTAAAGAACAATAGGTTGCGGTCACCCGTGTCCGCTTGGTGTTTGACAGTTTAAACAAGACATTAAGTTATTGAAGAAAGTGATAAAAGAACCTTACCGTCATGTGAAATAGATGCCATAATATTATCATCGGGAGGAGTGTCTATAGCTGTGACTTTATTATTATGAACTGGCGCAGGCACTTGGTGTAAAACTGTTCCTTTCCTCAAATCCCAAATCTTTACAATACCATCTTCATAACCAGCAGCTAAACGAACTCCATCGTGGAACAACTGTAATCATTTAAAAAAGTGATTTTAAACAATTAAATATATATCATTCTTTCTACCTACATGATAACATTAAATGTGTAAATGAAGAATAATCATTATATTAGATTAATGGTAATCATATTATTATTTGTAGTATTTGTGCTCATATCTCATATCATGGTTATGAAATCTTAAATGACTTGCATCTAGGAAATTGCTCAATCATCAAGACATGATCAATCATCAGAGTCTTATGAGATTTTTCGTAAATTCATTCAAAAAAGGAGGTACTTCTGAAATTGCTATAAAAGAATTGAGTCCTTTCCTAAAATGTAGTAAAGATGAAATATTTGCTTACCATTCCACACTCCGCTTTGGTATTCTCCCCTTGTAAGACTTTAGTTTCTCCTGAAGGTACTTTAAATACATATATTTCACCGGGTACTGTTCCAAAAACAAGAACCCTAGCTCCAAAATGCCACAGGCCCCATATCAAGTCCGGTGCTTCATATTCAAAGACAACAGGCCACGATTCTTGTTGGGTCTCTTCTTCACATTTCCAAACTTTGATTAGTCCAGCCATATCAGCTGTTGCTAAGAATGCGCCATCAAAACTAAAGCCGGCAAAGATGACAGAATCCTTATGTCCAAGACATTGCATAACCAACTGGCCATCTTCAATCCTCCATACATAAGCCTTGTCGTCTTCCCCACCCGTGACCGCCAGCTTACCATCAGGGCTAATATCGCAGCAAAACACAGATCCATTATGCTCTCTAAATATGAAAATAGAATTGTCTTCTTGCATTTCTAAAGCCTCTTCCACTGGTTCCTCGTCGTCATTGTAATCATCGTTAAAATCGATTTCTCCAACTTCCTCGAGAAACACCATGCCATCATCATCTTCCATGCCCAAGATCTCATCTCCGTTTATAGACGATGACGGCGAGTCCTCCTGATGATTCCGCATTATCTAAGGATGTAAAAATAAAAATGAAATCACGAATAGGTACGAAATAATGGTGCAATAATGTAAAATTTTATAAAACTAACCTCTTTTTTTCAAAAATCAATATAACAATAAGAGTCTTATTAGAATTTCGCTGATAACTTGTACAAAGCTTAGTTTGGCTAAAAACAATATATTCATAGAATTTCGGGAACGATAGCCACTTTTAACAATTATTTTCACTCGATTACACGTTTCTTTCACACGAGATTACTTTGACGATTGGAAATTATAATTTGCCTTCTTTCAAATGTCAATAATAAGGATGTGCTCATTTGTTATGACAAAAAAATCATCGACAACAAAACTGACAGTCACAGAAAATACTATTGAAATAGTCGATGTCGATGCCAAGCATGCATGGTCCGATTTAAAGACGCAATGTGCATGGGTTTTCTTTATTTCTATCGTTTGACGTTGACATTTCAGTTAAGTGACACTAACAGTAACAGTAACAGTCCAGATTTTTAGGTTATGTCTTATGATTACAAAATTGTATCATTTGAATCGAAATAAAAAAATACGTTTTATGAAATAATAAACGCTCATCAATCACTTAACTAAAGTAAACTTTAGTTTCTCAAAAATGGCATCGCTTAAAAAAGGTACTTACCGTAAAATTCTCTATCAATACGTACACATATTTATTAATATCATAACAAACTTAATTTTCGTGTCTTACAGTTTTACTACCTACGCAGGCATCGTTTTTGATCGCCAAACGATTCCGTGGGAAGATTAATATACAAAGGCCAAAGAAACCTCACTTTGAAAGACAGCTTCTGATAGACTTGGCAAAACCTAAATACGGCACTCCGAAATACCTTCTTCCGGATACAGTGCTTTGTGACAGAGGAGAAAAAAGGTACGCAAGAGAGATAGACAACCCTTTTGAAAGAATATTAGCAAATGAGTGTCTCAACTGGTTTAACACATCCAAGATGGTTATCTTTTTGCATGTAAATGCAATAAGTATGGAAGATAAAATGCCAGTGTTTGCTGCGCTAAACAAGAACAATATGCATTTAAGAACTTACGGTAAGAAGATTGTTAGCATGGCCACCACAGGGACACGGTATGAGGCAGTCAATCACTTGTTTACTTCGCACCAAAATATTATTTTTGGACAACCTGAGAATGTAGCTAAGATGTTCAAGATTATGAAGAAAGCACCTCAATTAGTCATTATGGGTAGGTTTATTTATATTCCTAGTAATTCATTTATATTACTTTAATAATTAAATACAACACAAAACTTTAACTTTACTCATTAAAAATGCTTTAAATTTCAGCCGGAATCATTCAAGACAGATTGATGTCAAAGAATGAGTTGTTAGAATACAGTCAGATGCAGAACATCGATGTGGCGAGGAGTCAGCTATGTGCTGTACTTGATAGTGCTGGTTCTTGCCTTGTTAGACAGCTGACTCAAGGCCAGCAGGCCCTGGTAGGCCATCTAGAAAAGCATGTTGAGCTCCAAAGTACCTCAAGCAAGGAACCTCAAGAAAGTACCAAAGTAGAATCGGAAAGTGCTAAGGCAGAGCCCGAAAGTACATCATAATTGTTATCAATAATGTAAAGTTATTTATTAGTATAAGATATAGAAGGGTTTTCGTGTAGTTTTCTTTGTTTATAATAATATTCTTATTGATAATTTTAATTTATTATTTTCTTAATCTTTTATTGTTACTTTTGTGTAATAATGAAGTTTATTATTTCTCTGTAATGACCATCAAACTAAGTCTAAACCTCAGGGTCTAGACTTAGTGCCCTGCCACTTAATGCCCTGCGTGGGCTGAGCACCGCTGTGCTCTCAGGGAAGTGATCGGCGATGGCGACTTCTCGCTTCCGGGCTTAGTGCAGGCCATGATGCGGAGCGAGGGGGACTGAGATGCCGTCTCCTCCTTTTGCGAAGCAGTCATGCTAGCTAAGGAGGAGGCGGGGCGCGTGAGGCAGCGCAACGCTGCCTCCTCGCAACCCAGCCATCGCGAAGGACACACTGGTCGGCGGATCTCCGGCCACCGTAAGCGCAGGCCTGCGGACGACGAGCATGGGTGGCTCCCCATCCGACCAGAAACAGACCCGAGCGTACGGCGCGTCGCGTTCCGCGCGTGCCTCAAAGACCCATCAGACCACCACAGATGGGGCCCAATACGGCCGATGCCGATTCGGAGTCGCAGAGAACCTAACGAGTAACCGAAGCTCCGACTCGACGTGCAGGAGAAGGAACGGGGTGGTTTTTAGTCAGTAAGAGTCTGACACTCCCTCCCGCCTCACCCAGGCGGGAGCAGTCATTCGATGATTTTTCCCCCCTTTAAAAAAAAAGACGCTAGAGGCGCCATCTGGGTTGTTTAAAATTACATTTGAAGTTGAGAAGTATTACTTGTTTGGTAGCTAGATTTTTAATGAATCAAATACTTTATTTGTAGTTCCAGCTGTTATACTTTGTACTATAGAGATATTTTTTTTATAAACAACTAAAAATGTTATCTGTGACGTTCGCCGCATCATGTGTCGTGCAATGCTGCTCTTGAGGCTAGATATGAGTCAAGTTACCTCGTCACACAGTTACATAAGTAAGCCGCTAAACATTACATACTAACTAGAAAATGTATAACAACCTATTTGGGTAATCGCGCCTAAGTACTGGCAATTTTAACAGTCCGGAACAAAATATGATTACTCTTGCGCAGTAATAAATAACCTCCTCTTCCATCAACGAATGTTACGTTTTTCCATGATATATTGGACAATATAATATTTGTAGTCCTGCAGAAATTACCAATACCTATTTCGTGCGCGCACTTGCTAAGCGGCATTGACTGTTAGTTGAGACGTCTCAAGTGAGTAGGTACTTGAATGAAATCCAAGAAAATTACTATCGCCTTTCAGCTTTTATTCATCTTAGGTATATATACTGTAGACATAGGCTGGTTTGCGGATTCGGAGCCGCAGAAGCGTTTCCGGGGACTCCAGTTCGAAGTGCAGGAGTAGGATCGGGGTAATACTATCGGCCGGTCCCAATATTCAATCCATAGGTAAAGATAGATAGCTATCCTCGATAGTCAGTTAAAAGCTATCTATCTTTCGATGTCGTCCCAATAACTAAAATGTGTCTTTGCTATCTCTAGATATCAGTAGATAGGGTGCCTATCTGAGCCCTCCCATGTGTTTCATTGTATGCAGAGCCCCACAGAGTGCCACTAAGTTACAATAATGTTTTCAAAGCATCTTGTCATGTTTATATCACAAACATTTTGAATTAATTAACGAAACCTTATATTTTGCACAAATTTTATAGTAAACAATATATTTTTTTAAGTTAAATATAACGAAAACTTCATGTTTGCGACTGGATGAGTGCGCGACTTGTAACGGAACGTGTTTGTTAAAACATTGACATTTGACATTGTTGTTTGTTGATTTTGTTTACAATAAATTATGATAATATAACAAAGAATTGTTTGTTATAATAAATGAGCTCAGTAAGTATTACAGTTTGTGCTTTTCTAGCTTTAGATTGAAGCTATTGAAGTTTAGTTCTATGGCTTTCACTGAACTTTTATACTTGGATTGTTGAATATTTTTTGTTGTTTGCATGAACATACATGTGACTAATAACTCGTGTTTGGTGCACTCATTGTAGCAAAAGAATATGCTATTGACGAAAGAAGAAGTAATGCAGCTGGTACAATTGGTGGAGGCAAATCCATTGATGTTCAGCAAAGTCACAAATGCCAGCAATAACCAGCTCAAGGATGCGACTTGGAGGATTAGGTATCACAGATAGTTTCTTGTATATTTCATTTTTGGGGTTTGGTATTGGTTATGACTATTTACTTTTCAATACTGTTTAGTTATAAAACTTTTATATGGTGAGGAGCAAAATGGAATAATACACTATAAATAATATTATAATTATAAATAATATTTTTCTAGGAAAACAGAAAAGACGAGCTGATGCAGATGATATGAGTCAATAACAGATCGAAAAGAAATACATGCATTAAAGAAACGGAAACTCTAGCTAGATATACTGGAGAAGGAGAAACAACCCAATAATAATTCATATAATTAAATAAAATAAAACAGTTTATTCTAAACCATCTTTTTATTACACTATGCATTTTGCACATTCAATGTTTATCTCATTTCTCGTCCACTGGAACACTTAATTAAAATAAAGATGTAGGTATGAATAACGGACAAGTATAAAATTCTCTAATTTAGTCTTCTTAGCCTAAATCTATACACAAACTCGTAATCGTCATATCTGTACATGTAATTAACACGCTCTTGATATGGTCGTGTTGTGGTAACCACATCGTCCTCGTCAGATTCCCAGTTCCTTATTTGTTTCAAAATATCAATAGCACTTGAACTACTACTTGAACTGGAGTCCGAAATGATTTTTTGTTTAAATCTGATGTATTTTTAAGAAATAGATAAGATATATATACTGATCTTCACTGATAACTATACTCCTATCCCTCAAAATCCTGCGATAGAGCTAAAGTCTACTAGGGATAACCAAAGTCACTGACAGATAGCACCTTTGTTATTATTGGGACGCATGAACTGTCAATTTCATAGTAAAAGCAATCTGTAGATAACCTATCCGTCCTCCCACAGGTAATGACAACCATAGATTAGTTTGCCTATCGCCAGTAAGTTTATTGAGACGGCAAATTTAAAGATAGATAGATTTTTCTATCTCCAGTAGGGCAAAACAAGGGATAGATAGAATATTGGGAACGGCCGTATGTCAGTAAGAGTTTGACACTCCCTCTCGCCTCACCTGGGCGAGGCAAGTCATTGGATGATTTTCCCACTCAAAATGACACAAGCTGATTAAAAGTGAGTAGCTAGTGTTCACAATGCGTTCAGGTTCTTACCTGTGCCACTGGAAACAAACAAAAAGCCTGGTCAACAGTGCTAGATAAAAATAAAACAACCTTTTTCTTGTTTATAGCATAATGTAATTTACTTCAATCTTGAAACAATCTTTGGTTGGAGTTCCGACTTAAAACTACTTAGTCCAATAGAGATCAAAAGTTAATGACTATACGAGCAGGATTGCTTCCACGATCAACTTACACTTTAAATAATACTTGAGCAACACTGGTTTCATTGGCATTATTACGTAATAGTAAATTTTATTTACGTAGTTGGTAAACTTAACTAAAAAATACAAACAATCATACTGGCAGTTACTCTATTATAAAGAGTATCTAACATTGTTATCCTTTTAAAAATCATAAACAAATAACACATTGCGTCTATGGTGTCATGGCGCAGAAATACGGCTGGTAGCAGACGCTAGAGCAGTGAGGGCCACTGCAGCTTCCACCTCGTCCCGGTCATGTCTCGACATCGTATTTACTGTAATCCGCTGAATCTTCGCATCTGGCTTTCTTCTTTTTCCGTCAGCCCACCACGAGTAGTTACACTCACTTGGTTGGAACCGTGCAGCGCTCTCCAGCCACTTGCTGAGTAACATTGGGCTTGTAATCGCTTTTGTTTCCTCGTTCCTATTTTCATTTGCATCCGATTTGTAAGAGTTATTGTTGAAGTTGACACACTTGTCTTTCATATTCGAAGATGTGTCGGAATCGTCGTGGTGGTATTCTGTTATCGTTTCTGGACTGCCTGTTAGGTCCCCATCATGGTCTAAGTTCTCATCAGGATTGTTGGGATCGGATTCGCTCCATATGCTGTCGTCGGAACAAATGCTGAACTGTTCCACATTGCCCTGTGCACGATCATTGTATGTGCGGATCAGATGGCCCCACGTTTGCTGGTTTCTATCTACATTCACATTTTTCAACTTTCTTCGCCAATTTGCAAACCAGTTACAAATCTGAAATCATAATTTATTTAGTGTTAATTTAATGTAACATAATCGAGCAAAACGTGGGTATTTTACAACACAACTTATTGTCACAGATGGCATTGTATGGTTGTCGTAGATAAGTATATATAGGATACCTAGGCAGACTAATAGTTTATCTGTCGTCATGGTAGTGCAAGTTATTAATAAATTAATTAGTAGTAACTCTGAATACAATAGTCAATCTAGTTTTTCACTTAACGTTAAATGCTGAACCGTAGTCAACAAAGCGATGACAAAAATAGTGCCTATTTATGTACAAATAGCAATTTCTGGCATCGATCCAATTAGGTTGCTGTTAGGTACAAACAATACCTACCTACGTGTAAAAATGAGAAAACAATGAACTTTGAAATAATATATAAACTGTCGAACTTACTTGTATGTATGTGAGGCCAGTTTCGCGAGACAAATATTTTTTTTCTTCTCTGTTTGGGTACGGGTTATCTCTTCGTCGCACTAGCCAGTCTTTGAGATATCGCTTAATTTCTGGTGTGAATAGCCTCTTTTGCGGACGCTGGCCCGCTACTAAGCTCCTTCTGTAATTGTAAAAATATTTTTGGTAAATGCCAATTAATCAAACCCATTGTCTGTAATGGCGATGAAAGTAAATACAATTTTAATAAAGGAGCTTTATAGGTACCGTGTGTGATGCATAGGTGACGCACAAAGAAATTTATACTGAATACTGAAAGTAATGACTCATGCATGTCAATGTTTGTTACTACTAAGTCTACTAACCGAGTGTATCGCCTGTTTCTGACAGGTCGCGAAGGTTTCACCAGGTCTTCTTTCATCGTGATGTCAGTCATGATGTCTTCCTTGCCTTCTTGAACTTTTTGAATGAGTGTCATCGGATCTTGTATAACTTGATTTACACTTAAATGTTTGTCCAAATGAGTGTAGAGTAGGAGACCGACACGTAATGTGAGGACAGCACGTGCAAGGGCACCACCGCTTGCGACACGACTCGTGTCTCGCAACACTGCCGCTGCGGGGGATGCTTACTGATCTATTAAAAAAATAAGGACATGATGACATAAATAGATTGTCTTTCAAAGAGTATACTGTTTAATTATGTGAAACAGTTAGCTAGGTAGCCGTATGTTGTAGTGGCTGCATTGATGTAACCGAAACATGACGGTCACATTCCTCAGTTCACATTTAGATGTTATTTACCAGCGATACCCTCCTGAAGTGCACATTCAGTAGTTCACGTCGATTTATTTCAATACATAAACTCTATTTTTATTGGACGTATTGTTTTAATGTTTTCGTATTCAGTAATTACCACAATGAACAAAAAACATGTTAACTATTACGTGTGCTCGAGGGTCAATGTTCTTGTTTTTGAACGGCCGAATAAAATTTAGTGTTAATTAGAGAGTTTCTTGAGTCAGAATAGACACACTGATTTGTTGAAGTGATTTGTGTATAATTTTATTTAATTTTACTCGCGACTTATTGTTCTAATGTGAAAATTGTGGTACGTACCTGTGTGCGGGAAAGCTCGGGGATTGTGTGAAAATGGCGTCGGATAAGCGCGCGACGGTAGCGCCGCGGCGCGGGCGCATCGTCGCTGCAAATACGTGTTATTTCAGGATGTCTCCCGCGATGTCTTCAAAAACATGATTACAAAGAACAATACCTATATGTTTAGGTGTATTCGAGGTAAGTACATTATTGTGTTTTTGGTGAATTGTATTTAGTTTTTGGGGTCAGAGAGTAGTTGTCTCTCCTTATTGTGTTGTAGTCAGTGATTGTAAAGTAACATAAATTTATTCTTCAATAAATCTATTGTGGTCATAACCTATGAAAGACACATAAAATACAGGCGGCGGGAACGTGTCGGGAACACTTAATTTCATCCTAGTCGCCAGAGATAGGTAAAGCCGCCCGTTATCGTGTACATCTGTTTATTATAGCAATACATTAGCAGAGTGACGACTAGTATCGTATCGTCGTATGTGATTAGGAGACTGACACTTCAGATTTAGTAGCGATGAGTTTTTTTTCGTTTAGTACCTGGCAGAATCGATTTCTTTTAGTTTTAACTTTTGAACCTGTGGCTTTGAAGCAATAAAATGCTTGTGAAGGAGATATACGGTCCCTACCTGTGTATTTATGCACTTAGGTACAGCTATGTATATTAGAGGAATAAGGAATAAAAATTCTGTAAAGAAATAAGGAAAAAAAAATTCATTTTTTTCTTAGAATATAAATTGTTACTGAAATATTTTGTATTGCTAATTAAAAAAAAAATCAGCTAACCACGGAAGTGTAAAGACTAGAACTTTGCTTGCATGCAAAATTATGGGTAGGTAGTTAGGTATCGACATTGTTATTTGTAATTGTACACAATAGATTTCCCTACTATTTAGTCTGTACTTTCTAATCTATCTATAAGTAAGGTACCCGTTAGAATATTTATTTTGAAAGGGTAATAATTTAAAAATTGTGTCTTCGAGTAAGGGAATTAAGTTTAGTTAAAAATAGTATAAATATTGAGTACCTTACCTGTGTATATCAGTGTAGGTAGGAAATAAATAATTATGAATTATACATAGGGGAAGGGATCTTTTTGTACATTTTTCAGAAATACATAAGTAGCGGGTGCTTAAGTAGACACTCAATGAGGTATTAGATAGGTACCTACCTATTTGGTACTTCAGACTAGAATGATGTCGGTACCTACTACTTATGTTAGTTAGAAATTCTTTTTATATCTATTTTTTGTATCAATTTTGTTGCATGAGCTTACGCACTTCTGCATACTCCGTTTATCAGGGAATGACTTCAATTAACATTACTTGTGAAAATCCTTGGCATTAGCAAAAACTGTCAGCGCTCAGGTAGTGTCGTTATGGTTAACAATAGGCAGCCAGGAACATGATGCAACTTCTCTACGAAATAACGTCATGTTAATGTAGTGCCGCTCAAGGTAAATACTCGTATTAAAGACTCGTGTGGTTCAAATAGAAAAATAAATGTAATTGTTTTATCACCGCGGCTTATTCGTGCACATTCAGCAATCAAAATAGCTGTCAAAGTTTACAACAGTCCTGATTTTACGGCCTGCAACAAGTTCTACTCGGACACTACGATTCTCTGTCTTTGTTCAGTGTGCGCACAATACAATGGTGGCGTCCCTGTCGTGCACAGCGCAGTTCCAGTAGCGCGCATGGTGTTCCGCAAGTAGTGCTCCACACATGCGCTGCGGCGACTGCTCCGAGTGGTCGGGTGATCGCGTCCTTAGTAAACTTCGGCTGACGTCAGCACGGCATCGTCTATTCCAGTTTCGCAGATCATAAAAATGGTAACAGAAAGTGATTCAGTCGTGTGAGATATTCCGTGGCGGCGAGTCACCCGGCGCTCTCGTCTGATACCGCGTTTCGAGCGTGGTTGGCGCGTGTATTATACCCACGTGCGTCGCGTTTACCGGTGTTAGCGATTGATTTTTTTGCGGAATGGGTGAAGAATCTCAGGCCAGCGATGGCAAAGTGGTTTTAAAACGTAAAATAACATTGTTTAATGGAGTTGGAATAATTATCGGGACTATTATTGGTTCCGGAATATTTATATCTCCGACTGGAGTTTTCTTATACACTAGGTAAGCAGAGTGTTCAAAATTCCCGCCTTTCGGAATGTTTTCAGCAGCTAGTTTGCGTGCACAAATTAATTTCCTCAGTTTTATCGGTTCGCACTTATCGCTGAATTTGAAACGCAACATTTGTTTGTTAAATAAACATTTGGGAGTTGTTAAATTAAAATGTAGAAGGAGGAAGATTATTTTCCGCTCTTCGTGCCACTATTTTGGAGAGTACATGTTTTGTGTCGTTATCTTTGAATTAAATTTAGTTTTGTATATCTTTATTCGTAATGTAATATGACACGCCGCTATAATTTGTGACCACTTCCTTGATTTCGGTGTATTATTGGGTATCTTATCAACTACATGTTTGGTTTTATTAACAAACGCATTATCACTCAGTTACTTAGATTCTATTATTACTTAGGTACTCATAGGTAATCTGCTACCACACAGTTAAAAGATAGAGTAGGCACATGCTATATTAATCAGTGTTTTCAAGGTAATTCAAAGTTTGAAATATGAGAAGTTTAAAAATAAATGAAAACGATTGCAAATTCTTGTGTTGGTTGCATAAATAATGTTTGCAATAATTGTGTAAAATGTATATATGCAACAGTTCGTTGTCTGTTTTATTGTAGTGATACTGTCCCTAGTGTGTGTCCACTTACTTGAATGTATGGTCTGTAGGTGACAGCAGTTGGTCACTTTCATTTACCATTTCATTGCACTTTTAATATGAACCAAGTGGTCCTATTCCTATAGTATCTATCTAATTAACTCGTTGAGTACCGGTTTTGTAGACACAATTATAGAACAATAGGTTGCGGTCACCGGTGACCGCTTGGTGTTTGACAGTTTAATCAATTATTTATAGGCAAACAAGTATATTAATAAGTAAGTAGGTACCTAATAATAGGCGGGTAATGAATTTTAGCTAAGCTATGTATACATACAGCTTAGGTACAAACAAATGAGGTATGTAGGTAGGTAATCATAGTCAGCGTATAAAATCGTAAACATAAAGTTGTAGAAGTAATTTTATAAATTTTACTTGAGTATGTAAAAATTTAACTAAGTCTTATACCTACGTCATCTACTTACTTTTATTGGCATCGAAGAAAATTTATTGCAATTTTTTTTACCTGTGTCCAAAGGTGCAGCTGTCCCGTTCTATTATGTCCAATACTAAACTATTGATGTTCGTTCATTTTATGACCATATCTTTAGAAATACATAAATCCTCGTCCAATTCAGTGTCAAACTTTTACTACAGCATTTTGTGGGGCTTAAAATGCACATAGTTACTGCATTTTGTTTTATGAAACGCAATTAATAATGAATGAAACAAGGACCTAAAATGCTAAGTTTGCAACAATTTTCTATAGTAGGAATTGTAATTTTCTGTGGACACTGGTTTGTCCTAAAACTACGACCAGCTAGCTACACATACAATGTGTCGAGTTCGGGCAGCACGGCATCGTACTCGTACTTAGAGGTAGGTACCTTAAGTTTTCGGTGATCGAACAGAGGCCAAAGAGTCGAAACGAGACCGCGTTCGACGCTCTGATTGGTTGTTTCATTAGAGCCGGCCAATCAGAGCGCCGAATACGGTCTCGTTTCGATTACTCTAAACGTTATACAAAAGGCATCTGCAGTCTTAACGGATATCAAGTCTGGGAATTATTAAACCCTTCATAAAATAGAGTCGTGTGTCCAGTATAGAGAGGAATGAAGTAGATGTAGGTATCGTCCGATTGATGATTATGACGATCTCGCTAATCTTTCACCTGATTTAATTTTTTCACTAGTCTAGATTAGGTATCTATGATTTTCTTTCAACTTTGTAGGTTGGTCGTGGTATAATGTAATATACGTTTGAATATTTCCTGCAAACATTTATCCAACGTCCTATTATGTTACCTGTACCTATAATGGTAGAGTCTTTGTGTATTGTAAAAAAATGGCCACCATTCAACTTTGTAGAATGGTGAATGGATCCCTTATGGCTGTGCTAACAAGGTCGTGGCTCCACTCAGCCTTAACCGTCGCTTAATCTAGGTTATATTCTTATCGAAGGCTTACATCACGCCTTCAATTCCCTGAAGGAGCTTAACGTAAAATAAATTTTAATTATTATCAATTTTAGCCCATAAAAGCAATTGTTATACATAGTGAGTAGTCGGATACTTTTACTATACAGATTTAGTTAGTGAAATTCAAACAGCTATATGGTATTTAGAACCTGTGGATGAAACTAGAATCTGCATATCGTGTTCTAAAGATCCCATTCAACCCATGTATCACGTCTTACCATTGACTGTTTATAAGTAGATTTGTCTTTAACAATAGAACCAAAATGACATTGATAAAAAGGTTATTTGGGCGTATAGATCTTGTAGTCAAATTCCCTGAAGGAATAAGTAGAATATCTTTATAACAAAAGCCTCAATATAATGTTACAACTCCACAAGTAACGGCAGTTTGTGTACAAAATTAACAAGTTCTACAGTTAAGTAATTCAACCAGATCTCTTATGTAAGTTTTTTTTAATGTAATGCTGTTGTCAAGCGGAATCTAGGGCCTACGTGTAGGCAGGCATTTCGAAACAACTAGTAGCTGCTATGTTGTTATCATAATTGGTTGAAACCTTTTGGAGTATTTGATTTTCTTACTTAACTATTTTTATTTTATATAGATGAGGTTGAAAACTTTTATTCTGAGTCTCGTCACATTATGGGTTATAATAGCGTAGTCTAGACATCTAGGTATGTATAAACTTTCTGTTTACAAATAGAATCATCACATTATTATCTACGTTTTCTAGTTTCCCATGGAATAGGTAAAGGTAACTCATTCAGAAACATTAATGGACTGTGTTGTTACTGAAAACTTGCCTAAAATTAGGTACGTATAAAATATCTTTCTATATTTACCTTTTCAATATTTGCCCTCATTACTAATTACTAAGACAGTCAATAAAACATTATTAGGTTTTAAAAAGTTAACATTGATCATCTTTAACCCAATTTGTTAATGTGTTAAATCAAATATCGCTTCTTAATTGACTTGTAAACAAACTTAGGATCGAGGTTAACGACCCCTAGGTATAACTGTAATCATCCTTTTAAAAAGGGATTATCGGAAATGCGATAGTTTATCGATTTAGGAGCTGTGGGTATCAGATTCCTCGTAGCTATTGTATTCTAATGGTAATTAACGCTTTTGTTCCGACGTTTTTGTTTTAAACATTAGTTCTTTAGAATTCATAATGACAGCTTAGAATTTATAACACTTCCTTGGTTGTATGTAACTATGAATTATGTAACGTATGGTTTTGGTAAGTGGTAGTTAGATATTTAATTGGGTATAGTATAAAACTTAATATAGTACAGTAACACAAAGGTAGCAGAGGTATATTAGGACATGATTATTTTACGTTTACAGCAATTGAAACGAGACCGCGTTCGACGCTCTGACTGGTTGGTTCATTGGAGCCGGCCAATCAGAGCTATGCTCGCAATCTCGTTTCGGTTACTTTATTAATAAACTCGGTACTATGACCCCAGGTTTTCTTTCGTTGCTTCTCTCTACCTATGTATGTGTTTAATAAATAAGTAAGTATATTTATAAAAGTGCTGTATCTACGTTAATGGCGCTTATTTCTAATTTGTTAATTTCCATATCCAAACAAATATTTAAGGAATATTTGGTAATTGTAGTAAATGTAGTTTACCTACTAAATAAATATGTAATTAGATAAACTAATTGCCAATGTTAATTTTTATGTTATACCTAGGTAATGTTATTTATAGAGTTAATTTTTGTAATTAACAACATTTGCGAAAGTTTAAAGGTTATCTGAGATTATGGAATATTTAGGAACGAAATGTCCAAAATAAACTTGACTAAAATTGGAAATGTAATGACAAGATGTAAACGGTTTACCTACGATACGATCTCAACAATTAAGCTCTGACTCTGATTAATTTGGTATTCGATTATCGTCTCCTTTCGTTTCTACCTTGCTTTATCTTATTACAAGTGACTACTGTAAAGTGTGACTAGTAACACAACTAGATACTGGGAAAAACTCAAATGGAATATACCCAGGTTTTTTTCCTATTTGGGTAAAAACCGGGATTTTATGTGGGAAAAAACCCGAAAGGCGGGTATTTTCATTTATCATGATCTTACTTTATTTTTATTTTTAGAACTAAATAATAGATACTTTGTGATGCGCACATAGGTACTTAGCGCCAGCGTGTATAGGGCGCTAGCTGTTGCCTGTTGTTTGAAACGTCAAAATGTGTAGCCTGTTACTGTTACAGGAACAAAAACAATACCAGCATATTCATTATACCACCTTAAAGACGTCTTCTTGTTATATAATAAGATTTTTTCTGCGCACTGTGATGGAATGTTAACAGCAGAAAGAACACCTATTGAAATTTTTAAAGAATCTTTGACCAAAAAATAACCTAGTTAAGTACTAACAATATTTTATTATACTTTACAAAAGTTATAAAACTGTTTTTACGTTAAAAAATGTTTCAAAACAATGTGTGAGATAGATAGATCACCAACGCGCACGCTCCTGTACTACCTGTTTCCCTGCAAGGGAAGGACATACTAGTCAACCAGTATTAAGTAGATATACATAAACCAACGTCTTCTTATAATGAGAAACGATAAAAATCACGCACTTAATACAAAGCGAGTGAGTGAAATTATATTATGGATTGAGAGAAAGGACGACTTCGATCAAAAAGCTTTTTTTTGATCGAAACGTAATTATTTGAGAAATAATGTAAAAGAAAAAGGAATTAGGTTGTGGTAATAGGAACTCAAAGAAGACGATTTGTCTGAAGTCCTAAATTGTAACAAACATTGAACACACTGTAGACCTACAAACACACCTACTAACTTCACTTTATGGATTTCTATTTTCTTAATTAGCTTGAAACTTGGCTTTTTTCAATGTACTAACCATACTTTTTTTCACAGATCTGTGGGCGCATCACTATTAATATGGCTGGCGAGTGGGCTTCTGTCCACTCTTGGCGCCCTATGCTACGCGGAGCTAGGGACCTCAATCACGAGGTCTGGAGGTGACTACGCCTACATCTACACGGCTTTTGGGCCCCTACCTGCGTTCCTGCGTATGTGGATAGCCCTGCTCATCATTAGACCGACGACTCAGGCTATAGTGGCCTTGACCTTCGGCAATTATATAGTGAAGCCTTTCTTCCCTGAACGTAACCCACCTGAATTGGCTGTGAAGCTCCTTGCTGCTGTTTGTTTATGTAAGTAGAGTTTTTCATTACCTTTAAACATATTATGTGTTAGTTCCAAACGTCACTAGCCAGAATACATTTACTGCTTTTTGTGATAAAGGGCAGCTAGCAAACAGACGGACCACTTGGAAATTTGCAATCGGTGCCACCGATAGACATCCACAGCATCAGAAGAGTTGAACTTAAAACGGCATTGTTCGCCTTTTGGGGAATAGGTTTGAAGACGAACAAAAATGGCATGCGAAAAGAATTTGCCTTAATTCCAATGAAAATCAATTTTAGCAGCAACGTTATGCCTTTGGAATCACAGTTAGGTCACCAAAATTTTAAAGGATTACAATTACAAGGTACAACTACCTAAATCATTAATTTGTTCATAGTAGGTAAGTGTAATATAAAAATTGAATACAGATACCTTCCTCTACTCATCTACTGGACAGTCCAGCGATCTCCTTATTCAACATTGAACGATGTTAATGTCACTCTTAATAAACCCAATAAGAAGTGATTTCCCCTAATGCTCTATAAGTGATGCGACTAAATTAAATAATGGCAAATCAAAATGAAATCGACAGACTGAATTGGCTTGAATTGATGATGAACGATGGCTGTTTCTTTAGGAGAATTTAAATTGGCAACACTTGTTTTAAATTCGCCAATACAGAGAATAAATTAAATGGCAATTATTGTACACCACAGCTGCGGTTGTGTCGGTGAAAGGGTTGATCTGTGATATTTTCTCAAATAAAACATTTCATTTTCATTTTCTCATCAAAGACAAAAGTCTATGTTTCCTCATTACCTAGTATTTACTCAAAAGCAACGCATTCTAGCATTGCTCGCGCTACTCAAGGTCAATGACATCACATTGACTTGTGACTTCTCCGCATAATAAAGTACGGAATTTCGCTGATCAATACACAGCACTTCGTAATGATGGTTACTTAGCAACTTTATGGGCATGTCACGTGTTTATAAAGCACATCGGGAACGTTCATTCTCGTCTTGTCTTACAGTATTGTTTGGATAAACAATCATAATTCATAACTTCCCATAGTGAAAGCCATTGCCTTGAGATTTTTAAGTAAACAGAGCCAGTAGCGTGCTACAAACATCGTTTAAGATCTAGAGATTTGTTGGTTTCGTCATTTTACTTCGCTTGTCTTGTTATGCTCGTTATGGAAAGACATAATCTTTAAAGGTCTCTAGTACCTAGACTCGACCTATCCGCAGACCACAATAAAAGCAAAACTGCACTCACCCGCACTATTCTATCTAGAAACTAGTACCTATTAATGAATTATTATATAAGTAAATAGATACAATCTATTTTAAGATACTAGTTCTTGACTACACGAACATGACCCGAGCAAGATAAACAAACATTGTTGCCTAGTATGTAACTGACTTACCTCGATACCACTGATTACAATAGGTCGTCCTGATTTATTACGATGCGAGAGTGAAGAATGTGTGTCAACGTAACTTTCCGATGCAACGGTCGCATACGTACTTATAGTAGAGATTGTATATTAACGTTTCAATGGATTTGTAGTCGAAGGTGCCAGTGCTGGGCTAGTTACAAGGCGATAATGTTGTAGTTTCTCTTACAATGCTTGCAGAAAGTACTTAAGTAGATATAGTTATCGATCTACCGAAATATGGAAATCCTAATCTTTTACTGATTACATTGATCTCCGTAAGAAAACCATAAACAATAATTAATTAAAAACTCTTTGCTATCACATAAAAATAATATTATTGAATGAGTTTATGACTCACAGTCTGGCCGTTGATAAAAACGCTACAATGACACCGTTCTTCTTTCAAATTGACCAGTAGGTACCAAGAAAGCAAAAGTACAAAATTCATGAATGGAATTACAATTGTTACTAGCATATGACGTCATACTGGCCCCTCACATGATCAGATTACCAACTGTGGGATCATTTGACCAACAGTTTCATTATTTCATATCCCTCTCGTTCTTGTTCTGAGAATTGATTCCACTTCACGACATCGCTAATCTAGAATTAAAATCAGAGAGACATTGCTTTATGCATGTTAATACAGTTGCTCTAGGGCCATTGATCAAAATAACCGGTAATTTAAACGGGAAACAGAACTTGTCTTCAGTAGCTTATATGTATTATGTATTTATGGACTCTTCCAGAAACTCGAATCAAGTTCAATTGTACGGGTCTCTGTTGGAAACTTGATTAGTAACATGTCTTCTTGACTTATGCTTACATTCATCTTATCTTATCAACAAGTTGTATGTCACAAGTCATCTACTAATGCGAAATTAATTGTTTGCCTTTCAACCCATTGGAAAACCATGGTACTATCTACCATGTATTGCTAACGGGCCTTGTCCGTTGATTTATTACACATTTAATGGAATAAGGATACATCCAGTTGCGATTATTCATTGGACTCTAGCACTTGTTAACAAGTTGGTTTTAACTGCAGTTGGTGTAAGTTATAGTTTAGCAATAAGATTGATTTTTGCAGTTCTGTTATTGCTTTTGAGGCATTTAACTATACTTACATAGAAAAGCTACTTATTTGTTCGGAACATAATGTATGTCCTTGTAGCTATTATTTCCTCAATTCTTGTGGCGTTTGTGGTTTATTTATTTGTTTGCTACTTTATTTCAGCGATGTGAAATAGTATGCTGGTTGAGGGAGTTCCCGTTTAATCGTATTAAAGTGATTCATTATACAAACCACAAAGTTATGTAGAATTTCTTAAAATAAATAAATACTTGGCAGCAATAAATTAATTCTTCCTTAACAAAAGTTCGATGCAGGATATTTTACTACGGATGAGAGTTTAGCAATAAGGAAAATGATTGACAATTCCCGATGGTACCTACCTAACTCCATATTACTTAAAAATGAATAATTTTCCTTTGATTCCATGATCGTAGAAGATAAATAGAAATCTATAGGCAAGGAAGCCTTTAATTCTTTGATTGCATTGCGTCTCGAGGCGGATCCGCCGGCGGAAACTTCACTTAAACCAATTGCCTCCCATAGACGATCGGCTCTCTGAAAATGAACTTCCATTTCGTCAATCAACATTGGCGTAAATTAATTTACCCATAGCTAAGTATACATAGCCGATGTTGTCTGAACTTTGACATTTAATTAATTGAATGAGGTGTTATTTGATGTTTGTCGCTGATTCTCTGAAAATGGGCCATTTGTCTGTCTTTGGTCGAGATGAGAGTTTCAATTTCTCGTACTTTTGCCATTAACCCCTGTAATGTCATAGATAAACGCTGAAATAATTGAACGTCAATCAAATTTAAGTCGCGCATAAGTACTTACTTACATACCTATACCTAGTTCTGTCACTACATTTTTTTTGTAAAATGACAGATTGGTAGAGATTGGATAGTTTCCTAGGTCAAAATAAATATTATTTTGATTTTACAGACCAATTAAATATTAAAAAATAGTTACACTTTCATTAATTGATTTGCCAATATACATATTTAATTTTCGATTTATTCTAGAATTTTTTTTAGATATAGGTGTAGGCGCGTAAATATGATGACGTCATAAGATGGTATTTCGTACAAAATTTATAGAATAGTATCCTTTTTGACGTTTCGATAAAAGTATTGAATTTGACTAGTGGTCAACAACAAAATACCTGTTTACCTGCCTTGACATACAGTGTTTTTGTCCTGTTCAATCTCTGTCTGACATTAGGAACATGAACTATCCTTTCGTTCATCGTTTTATGCATTGTTAGCATGCTGTCTAAGAACCCAGTTAAACTATGACATTTTGACGAACAGTTAGTGTTGTAAGATACTAATCTGAGGCCTTAACTAACTGTTTACCCTTGTCTCGATCTAGGCCTACCTTGTAACTGATAGCAATATTTATGCGACCTAGTTTCCAGAACACGTTTAAATGGTGGAACTTGTCAGCTCCAGCTAATCATATGTTCAAGTTGCGGTTACGTCCTTGTAACTTGAAACTTGAAATGCATCGGCAAGTTGCAATAACAATGTTTAAATATCTGTTACATACATACTTATTTGGATTATAATATATATTACTACACACTACACGGAATACCTTGACAAATTCAATTGTACCTTCCTTTCTTCTCAACTGTTATCTATCTACTGATGAAAATCGAATGAAAATCCGTGCAGCGGTTTTTGAGTTTACAGTAAACAGATAATAAATTATTTTACACAATTTTTTCGTACCTAATTGTATTTAATCTCATGGCGGTGGACTTTGTTGGACCAGACCCAGACTCCCTAAATATAAAAAATGCCAATACACTAATCAAACCGTATAAAATAGATATCCTTATAATAGATACCATTTCAGCAATTGTGATAATTATATTGCTTGTTTTTATTATCTAATCTAATATGGTTTATCTTAATCACTGTTAACATACACTAATATGATCGTGTGAACATAGTGTGATCTTCTAATATGAAAGGTCACTCACGCGAATTTATAGTGATGTAGTGATAAAATATGGTACTTAATCTATTTTTATCTTTTATTGTGATAATAACATGGATAAATAGAACAATTGCCTTATTACCATAGTGATTGTCTTTTGTTATTTTTGTATTAGAGATATTAAAAATGTTTAAAGCACTGTCTTGGAAAGTCGGCTCCTATTAAGTATGACTATTATAAATTAGCGTCGTAGTGGCCTGGAGGTTTAAGAACCCCGCTTCTCGTACATGAGCGTGCGGGTTCGAAACCTACTAACGGCAAGTACCAATGTGACATTTTCCGAGTTATATGTACTTTCTAAGATTATTCAAATACCACTGGCAAACTGTGAAGGAAAACATCATGAGGAAACCTATGGGCTTATAATTTCTAATTATAAGTTTGAAATCGCCAACCCGCATTGAGCAAGCGTGGTGATTAATGCTCAAACCCTCTCCGTGTGAGAAGAGGCT